CCACCACCACTTGATCCGATCAGCAGATACAATGAAGTCCGTGATGCTGACTTATCGACATAAGATTAGAAGACCAATTACAGTTGGATTATTAAGAAGAATAAAGAAACATTTGGAAATTTAATCGTTTATAATACTAAACTTCTGGGTAGAAGAATCTTGGATTATTTATCGTATTTTCATATTCGAATTGTATTTTGGATGACGATTTTTTGATTTTGGATATCTCTTATTGAACTTATCTGTGGAATTACTATATTTTGTATTTGTTATTTATCTTCCGTTGAGCTTCACTTATGATGTCAAGTCGCAAGAAAACAAACACGAGGAGGGTGGAAGAGCTTGACGTATCCCGAAATCCTAGGCAAGTCGTTAATGATGATTTTTTTATGGGTAACCACTATGTTAACACTGATGTTATGTCTGATACTTATTATTGTAAGTCACCTTTGGCAGGCATTAAGGAACCAGGATTAAGTGAGAGTTCTAAGGTACCAGAGACGCATCAGATACTTAAGACACCGATAGTAGGTTTAGAACTGAGATGGTGGAGAAAACTTGTAGCTCAGGTGAATGATTGTGGTGGTGTTTCGTTCTCTGAGCTGGTTGTTTTGGTTGTGGAGCTTTCATTGTTCTTCTGAACAACATCATCAGCACGAACTTCAGATAGAAGTGAAGCATTAGAATTTCTCCACGTTTGACCTGTAGCTTGTTCTGCTGACCTCGATCTTGATTGGTTGTTGTTGACCTTTGACCTGTCGTTGTTTGCAACTATGTTTTGATTGCCTCCCTCTTTTGATCTGTTTCTTGATCTCGTGTCACCTATGATTTTCCTGATTGGTTGATAAATTGGGTCAATGTCGATGTGTTTGTTGATTGCTAATTGACCTGAGTGCCAAGCTTCTAAAAATTCTCTAGTGTTCTTTGTCCTCCCCCTACCCAGTATTTTTTGTATACCCATTTTTGTATAACTCATATCACTACATGAAAGAACAGCATTAGTATCGCAATTCGAAACTGATATACTGACTTGTTGTTCTTCATGTTCCGTTTCAGAGACACAAGACATATGCTCATCAATAGCATCATTATCATGCAACACTGTAGATTGGTTGTTACCATCAGACGCTTCCTTCTTATCATCACTTGACTGACAGTCAACCGAAGTAGGAAACACTTACAGTTACACAACCTTGGGTATCCTCAATCAACTTACCGTTCGTGACAAGGTCCGATGACGTCGAAACACTAAGAGGCTCGTTCGATGAGATTGATAGACTAGTCACTATAGGTGGACTGCTCACACCTTCTGTCTCCTTACTATCGCTGTCACTACTAAGATTCTGATGACTACTATTTCCATTGCTAGTCATAGCATCCAAAAGAGAATGAGGTTTAGGCTTCTTTATAATAGTAGCATCATCTTGTTTCCTAGGCTTCTTAGCCTTTACAGTACCACCATCACTTATCCTAGAATTAACTGTAGGTCCCGATATATAATTTACCCTAAATGAAGGGTTCCGAAAATAGGCTTTATTCCGTTCGGACAATCCTGCCTGGGCCTTATTCATATTTACTGAATTCATTAACCTCTGTTTACTCGAATCCAAATAACCGTTCCAGACTTTTCGAGCAGCTAAGAGGCTTTTATCATCACACACTTCGGTTCCATCTTGATGCCTACACTTTTCACCTTTTTCTTTCTTTTCTATACTTAGAAAAGCCATCTTATCTGTTACACCAACCGGCTTCTTACTAGGATACGCATCAAGAGGTTTTACATCGTTACGGTCACATACTCGTCCTTCATCAGCGTATGCTTTCGTGATATAATTGACAACTCTCTTATCTTCCGGGCGTGCGTTAGATAGAAACGAAGAATCCTCACGTCTCGCACGCAGACCACTTGTAGCTTCCGTATTATGTCCTGTTTTAGCCCGATAAGCTAATCTTCCAAACCTACTGTTACGGGAGAAACGAAGACATTTTGCTGATCAAAACCTTCATGTATAAATATCATTAATTTCACTGTTTTTGGGTACATTTGTTTTACTTAACTTGTGAACTTGTTTGAATTATTATTTGCGGACATATTGGACTCCCGTTTCTCTTTGTTGTTCGTTACAGTTTTTTGCTCCAAGAGATAATAAATTAGAAGGTAATTGTAATTATTATAATTATTGTTGTTAGAACGACATTGGTCGTCTATTTGTAATAAATTATTTTGGTGGAATTTGTGATTTGGAATAAACTTTGGTATCTACTTTGGAGTTTCGTTCTTGGTATAGAAATTTGGGACCTTGAATTACCAATAGACGACAACAGTGCTTCGTAAGATCGACGAGCAGAAAACTGGACGTAACACCTACTACCAGCTATCTTAGCGCGAGACATAATAAATTCCGTCAAATCATTGAAATTAGGCTCTCTCTCCTCTTCGTCCCACTTGATTCGTAGCTCTGCCCACTGGGCTTGCATTCGACGAGGTAAGAGCCTGACTATTCGTTCTAAAGTAACCATGGAATGAAGTTCCGTTGCACAATTTAGCTGTTCTATGATTAAAGCAGCGTTCTGCATTTTATTAGCCAAATTCGTCAATTCCTCAGGATCATTAAAATCTGCGTTCCCGGTTCTAAATAAGTCCTCTAAGGTTTCCCGGGCTATTACATGCGACTATCCAAAGAGCTGTTTTAAGATGGCCTTAGCTCTCTTATATCCCGCTTGTGGATCCATTATAATACAACCTTCAATCGCATTTTTTGCCCTTCCCTTACAATAGTGAATTAAATACAATAAACGCACTTGGTCATCTTTTATTCTGGGTTCTATAAACGTTTCTATTTGGCGCATAAACCTAAAGTAGTCGCGAGACTTTCCATCAAAAAATGAAAGTTCGACCTTAGGTAGTTCTAAACCCTCTATCGATGTCTTAAGTATCTGATGCGTCTCTGGTACCTTAGAACTCTCACTTAATCCTGGTTCCTTAATGCCTGCCAAAGGTGACTTACAATAATAAGTATCAGACATAACATCAGTGTTAACATAGTGGTTACCCATAAAAAAATCATCATTAACGACTTGCCTAGGATTTCGGGATACGTCAAGCTCTTCCACCCTCCTCGTGTTTGTTTTCTTGCGACTTGACATCATAAGTGAAGCTCAACGGAAGATAAATAACAAATACAAAATATAGTAATTCCACAGATAAGTTCAATAAGAGATATCCAAAATCAAAAAATCGTCATCCAAAATACAATTCGAATATGAAAATACGATAAATAATCCAAGATTCTTCTACCCAGAAGTTTAGTATTATAAACGATTAAATTTCCAAATGTTTCTTTATTCTTCTTAATAATCCAACTGTAATTGGTCTTCTAATCAAAAGTAATGGATAATTCCAGAACATAAATGTTCTTAGGAATAATTCCAGACTGTCAATGGATTTCTACAGTGGCCGTTCCAATGGCTTCCAATAGGTGCACTCCTGTACTCGTTTCTCCCAATCCCAGGTCCAAACAAATCAAAAAAGGACAAAAGTTCTAGGAGAAAGCGGTCTTATTTAATAAAGACATGGAAATACAAAGCATTACCTGGAATTAATGCTCCTTCCAGGATACAATTACTCCGAAGAGTATCAGAAACAACGATAGATAAGTGACGTTAAGTCCAGCGGCCACTGTATCAATCCAAATATGGCTGTAGCCATATTAAAGATCAAATTTAAACAACATATATACAGATCAGAAGCAAACACAAAAACTTCAATATAAGTACAAAATATAGAAATAATAACAATATACAATGATAAAATCTCAAATTGGAATCAAATAAAATACCAAAAATGTCAACAGAAAAAGTCCGTCATGTCATAACAAAAATATGTAAACATGGAGGGATTTTCCAAAAAACAAAACATTCAAAATGATTCTACAACCTTGTCATTCAGGTCTCCCATGAGAATCGTCAAATCCTTTGGTGAACATTTCTCAACGTTTGACTGCAGCCTTTCGTACAACTGATCTTTAACGTCGCCATTGAAGTAATTGGTAGGTGAATAACATTGGATGACGTTCATTGTAACCTCCTGTTTCTTTGTTTTGAAGGATGCTTTAATGATCCTTGGTCCATGAGATTCCCACCCTATCAGTGCCTTTTGTGCCTGTTTGGGCAGCACCAGTGCAACTCTTTGTGTATATGAAGCATTTTCCTCTTCATGACCAGAGTATAACAGCAGTTCCCCTGAAGCTAGTCTCAGTTGTCCTACCTGTGTCCAATGCGTTTCACTGATGCCGAGCACCTCGAGGTTGTATCTTTTCATTTCTGCCGCAACTTGAAATAGTCTTCCAGTCTCCCACAATGTACGGACGCTCCATGTACCTGAAAGAATGGTTGCTCTGGTTGTCAGAAGAGGCTTTGACTTCCGGGGGAACTTCGCTTCCATCACGCGACGTCAAAATTCTTCTTCGAACTCTCAGGGCAGAGTTAAAATGGTTTGGATTGTTTTTTCTGGTTAGCGTTTTTTTGGCAAGTTCGTTTTTGACGGAATGGGGTCGCCAACCCCATGTCCAACCCTCCTCCTTTACCCGGGATTGGGACCGGCAGTAGACCCGAAGGTTCTACTGGCGGAGTTTCCATTCAGTTTATACCTACTATTTCCCGGGACACCTATTAATTTGAAGAACTGAAAATCAAGAGTGTACCACAAGAGGGATAACTGAAACATCTGAGCATTACAGAACACTATTACGAATGTTAATATACAGCCACCATGTAATAACGTGGATTTTTCAGTCGATTTCTTAGCTTTTGTTTGACTAAAATGCAAAGGAAATATGTATACGGCAATACATACGACATCTTGGAATGGTAATGGCCTTTTTCTATTTGAGAGAGTCATGCCTTTAGTTTGGATTGTCGATCAGCCCTGATACATATCATTCTTTTCAACAATTATTTCAGCAATGTCATTTTGTTTGTTTGAACCAGTCCCCATACGCTATTAGATCAATTCGGTCTTTGCGCACTTTTTGTTTTGTAAGTTTGTATTTCATTCGTCACCTTAAGCGACCAGTTTTCTAGTTCCGGTCATCAGTGTATCTTAACCGCATGCTTGTTATGTTCCTGTTTTCTGTCAATTGCGTTTTCTAATTATATAGGTTCATCCTATGTGCTTGCTAGGTTATGGCTTACCTCCTCTCTTTTTTTACTCTTCTAGATAATCACGCATACTGCTCCTCACAGTGCCCCAGAAAACAAGGTAACTTCATGCTAGACGCAATCTTACCAAAGGTTAAATTTAAAAATCATCTATGTAGACCTGCTTTAAAACAGTTTACAGGTTCATTTGACTCGTTTTTGTTTTCCTATTACTGCAGTGTATTATTTGTTTCTGTAGTTTATCATGAAATTTTTCGTTACATTAGTTTATTTCTAGGGTAGTTGCCTGAAAACCCCGAAATTTCCTTTGATGTGGGTATTTCCCGTAAATAACTCCACCGTAAATCAGATTGTGAAACGTAGTGTTACTTTTTTTCACGAACCATAGTTTGATTTAGTACGAGTTTTGTTTGACGCACAAACTATAAAGTTCTGTGTATATCTTATTTTTTGTCCATGTTGGTTTTCAATTCATCAGTAGTGTGATTGACGGTAATTTAACTTAGCAGTATTTAGTGTATCAATATCTTTCTGTGTTCAAACAACCTTTTACTAGTGTATATATTTTGTGCTCTAAAGTGTCTTAACTCTGGGTAACTTTGGTTCCGTCTTCTTTGTTTGTATCCTACAGCTAGATGGTTTTGTCAGGATTCTCTCGAACTTTCTCAGATATCAGTAGTGGAGATGGCAGCCTCAGTAGATCTCTTCAAGATAATAATCAGAATTGTAGCATAAACAGAGCTTTTGGAATTTCGAGAAGCAAACCCAAGTAGGCATCATACTGTTTAATTACTTCGCAGTTCTAAAACTCCAACAAGAACTCCATCCCGCAGTGGTTTGACATCAGATGATTCAGTTAATAAGAAGACACCTAACTCTTCTATTAAAAAGATGTTGACAGTACACGAATGTGATGGTGACAGGTGACATGAATCATTTGGTCTTATTTCATGACAGATTTATTCCCAACAGGTCATCAACAAATATGTGTCGGGCGCGGCACGCAATCCGGAAATGCAACGAAGATTCATCAAATGAAGAGGCTGCTGAATACCAACAGGCTGTAGCAGCTAGTTTAAATACTAATGACTGTCCTGGAAGTCGTATCCTCCGCTATAACGCTGCGACTCGAGATAATGGCAATACGCACTGTGCCGCAAATAGCTCAGTATCCACTGTGAAGGGACCCTATAAGCGTGCCATACCTCAGGTGAGATGTTCCTGAACACTCAGATTTTACTAAAAACCGTCACTGCAGATTAATTAAATTATTTATTTAGCCGCTATTATTGGTACAAAAGAGCACTTAAGCATTTATACGTCACATCGATGGATTTGTGTTTAGGCTAGAATATTGCTCAGGTGATATTTTTCAGAGGTTTATTACCTGAGCCTTTGACTTACTGGTCAACTGCACAAGGAATTAGAACAAAGTCAGGTGATACAGTCTTGTGGTAGCCGTTGACTAACTGTAGACTCATGCACCACTAGTTTTCTTAGAATCCTATGTGCGTGGCTATATGCGAACATTTCGAGAAGAGCGGACTCTCCCCACTCTTGGCCGTACCGGGGCACTACAGATAAAAACGTTTGGTTCATTTGTTGATTAGCGTGTAGTCCACATCATAAAGTGATCATTTTTATTCACACAACGGACACGCATGTTGTTACTGGCTTGTAGTTTGGTCTCTATTATGGAAATGAGATTATTATGGGTAGGTTTTTATGCATAGCTGTCAGTCAGTCAGTCAGATGCAACGCAGAACTTCGTACGTAAGTACATCAGTTCATGTTGCCATACCACAGCACAGAGATATAATTGTCAATTCAAATCCAATAGTAGTAGAGGTAGTAAGGGAATTAGAAGTAATCGGAGAGGTTAGGGTTAGAAGATACTATTCAAGAAGTATGATTCAGTGAGAAAAGTTTAGAGAGTCGAAACTAGGGGTGTTGAAGATGCATAGCTGTCATCACATGCTAAATCAGCTAGAGCCTTCATTTGGCTAGGAATTCTAAAGATCATGCAACGCAGTGACTTAATACATTATCAAAAATAGCTCAGAATAGGCGTATGTGGTAATCCTGCTCTTATTTTAATAAACAGTTGTCGTAAAAAATGAGTGAAACTCCCCTAAGTAAAAGGATTTTTCTTTAAAGTAAACTATTCCTCCCGCTATATACTACCTATTCTCGTTTATCATTCAATTTGTTTGCTTTTGGTCATACTTCTTAATCTACCTCTTTACAGCTTCACTTTCTTGCCTGTGCAATGCATATTTATTTTAGATACTAATTTGTACTGGTTCTTATGTTTATCAAATAACAAATCTGCGGCATGGAGTATTAACTACGATGTATATTTACTGGCATTACTTGTAACTTTCACCTTTACATTTTCATTTATTTCCTAATAACCTTATCAAGTAGCTCTATAACCATGTTTGCTAGTTATTACACAAATAAATGTCGAAATAATTTCATTCTGTAGATGCCAGAGAAAGTTCTCGATGCTCCAGATATTATTGATGATTTTTATCTAAACATTTTGGATTGGTCTGTGGACAATATTTTGGCTGTGGCATTAAATCAAGAAGTTTATCTTTGGAACTCATCTTCGGGAGATATCACTTGCCTTATGTCCTGTGGTCTTGAAGATGAATATGTCTCCAGTTTGAAGTGGTCTCCTGATTCCCCCAATATCATTGCCGTCGGTCTTAGCGCCGGTCGTGTTCAACTGTGGGATATTTCTAGCCAGTCACTAGTACGTACGATGCGGCTTGGAGGTGTCAGCTCAGCCGGTCGCATATCAGCCGTCACCTGGCGGGAATACTTAGTTTCTAGTGCATCTAAATCAGGACACGTTAGACATCATGACACGCGGATCGCTCATCATGAAGTTGGAGTTGGTGATTTTCATACTCAGGTAATTTTTTTCAACTAAGATTCTTACCATGTGTCCTATTCCGTTTGAGTGTAGCCTCTTATGAGTACTTCAGTTTACTGATTTTTATCTTTTGTCCATTATCTAGTCGACTACTCATAATTCATTGCCCTGATAATCGCTAGCTCGTCGAGCCCTAGGAGTTTTGCATTCTGTGTTCAGGGATGCGTCTAAGTTATTTTTGATACTCATTCCCAATAATTTTTCATAGCGCTGAAAATCTTAGCGTCTTATAACTTTCGTTCATGTTTCGGTCTTATTTTACAATTTCTACAATCTTCACTTCAATGTTTGAGAGTGTGATAATCCCTGTCAATCTACTATTTTTCAAAGTCTTACTTGGATAAAATCAATCCACTTGGTTTCCTTCTATGATTGTCTCAGGATAATGGTTTACTTCTCCTAGGACATTGCTGTTTCTATTATTTATATTCTACCATTTCCTCGAAGATCTAACCAGATTACTGAATGCCAAGCTAGAAATTCTTTAGTTTCAATCACAATGATCTTTATTCGTATAATTTTATACTTATTGCCTTTTATTTATTCGACATCCAACCTCTTGGCAGAAATTCATATCAACATGATAATTGACATTTATCACTTTATACACAGCTGATTTCGTGATAATAGTAGTTTATATCTATCAGAAATCCGTTATGTGATATTTTAATTACCAGTATTATTGTTCTATAAACCACCAGTTGCAGTATGATCCCCAGTCTAAGTGACCTGACTTTACGTGCACTGTATTAACATATTAGATGTATATAGTTGACAGGAAATCATAGACACAAGCCCGTGCTATTCGATACTCATTAACGCCATGTCAACTACTTACACTTAACACCTCAATATAGTTGAGTCTGTTACACTTGTGATCATTTTGCAATTTAATTGATTGAGTTTGATTAGCACCTAGAGGTTCAGACAAAAATGACACTAATCACTCACTACCTGGCTATCAATCAATTCTAAATGTTTCAATGTCTTAACAGTGTATGCTTGTGTTTTTACTATGTTTAATTGTAATTATTAGAGTCAGTCAGTCAGTTTCAACGTAGAACTTCGTACGCATGTACATAAGTTCATATTACCATACCATATTAGCACAGAGATGTTGTAATTGTCAATTCAAATCCAATAGTAGAAGAGGTAGTAAAGGTATTAGAAGTAATCGGAGAGGTTAGGATTAGAAGATAATATTCAAGAAGTGTGATTAAATGAGGAAAGTTTAGAAAGTCAAAACCAGAGG